CAGGGCATATCAAACCTGGTGCATGATCTAGATTTCCAGATCTTTACTATTTTGTTTTTAATGATCGATCTCTTGTCTTTATAAAAACATTATCTTTTACTTTTGTGAGCTATCTTAAACCCACGTATCTGGTATATCTGAGGACACTTTTAAAAATGCATTCTGAGACACCTAAATGAGTAAACATCAAAATTCAAACTGTTTCTCCTCTAGCTAAGAAGTAGTTGAAGCTAATTCTGTCTTTTTTCTTTTTTTTTTTCTTTTTTTTTTTTTTTTCCAGTTGGAGTGCCTCAAGCTCATTGCCTCTCAGAAATTCACAGACAAGCGCATTGGGTATTTAGGTGCCATGTTGCTGCTGGATGAGAGACAGGATGTCCATCTTCTTATGACCAATTGCATCAAGAAGTAAGGGTACCACCTCTCTCTCCATCAACACATGCTTTGAGGTTTCAGGATCTGAAAGTACATTCCTGACAGTGATATTCTGAGTACTTTAGCTGTTTTTCCTTGTGTAAGAAAACGGATATCTTCAATTTATCGTATGCTGTTGACCATACAAGACTGTTCTAATATTGTACAGTATTGGATGACCCTGTCTAGCTTCCTTAGAGGGAAGAGAATATAAAATTGCATTGGTCCTGAAGGGGTGTATGTGGCAAACAACACTTCCTGTAACTACTGTTACAGAATGGTAGTCTGTGTTTCTGGAGGCCCTGAAAATCAGGGAGATGAAATGACCACATCAAGCTGCTCAGCCTGTGCAGAAGACTTCTAATTGCTGTAAAGAACTCTCTTCTGTAAATTAGTTATCTTCCAGCTTGCAGTAGGCAAGAGCCAGGTGAGCAGTAATGCAGCATCAATAAAGGTCCATGCCCTTCTTAGGTATGATTGAATCAGGATGTTTTTATAATGCTGTTAAAACTTTGTGGGCCGGACTGGCTATCATATGTCACAAAGTCATATGTATTGCTGCAGCCATGTTGTCCTGTGTTTGGTTACTTGACTGCTGCTGATGAGCTCTGAAGAGTTGTCTGACTTCAAGGATCATGGCTGTGTATCATGCTTTCTTTTTAAGGCTGGCCTAATGGTCCTGATGAATGGTTTCCTTGGAAGCAAGGCAGCAACTTAGGATGTGCTGTCTGCTTGGCATCTTGCTGAAATCAGACAAGAAGAGGAGATGGGAAATCTTTTTTTTCTTTAACTTTTTTTTTTTTCTCTCAGCAAAGTCCTGTTAAACTGGGACTGGTTTACGTTACAGTTTAGTAGATGGTGACTGGTGCATTTCCAATAACACTCTTTTTCAAGATGGATGGGAGCAGGAGTGAATAACTGGGTTCTAGCTGATTTACCCAGAGGCCTGCTTGGTTGTGTGTGCTGTGTCTTTTTTTATTATTATTTACCTTTAGGACATAAACCTCCCAGATATTAGCAAGTAAAGCATTGATCTTCACTTGGACTGTTGCCTCAAAGTGCTTGGAAAGAAACTTGACAAAACTGTGGGCCTGAGGATGTGCTAACTTTGGACCTAGCGTCCAGGAGAGAAGAGACAATTTGCTAAAGATTTTTCATTGAAATGTCATACCTGTGAGGCTCTTCCATTAGAACCAGGCTGCTAGGTTAACACCTCATTTAATTGTTTGTACTAAAATGAATTTGTGGGGTAAGGGTGTTAGTGAGTTTGAACTGGAAATGTGTCAGGCTGAAGCTGAGCAAAGTTGGTGGACAGCTTCCCACCACCTCAGTGGGTTGTTTTATTGCTTTCTCCTTTGGCTTCTATATCTGCCACTTGGTCTTGCCTTTATCTAGACATTAAGGTATTTGATTTATGGCATTGTCTTTCATTATTCTGTGGCAAGACCTAGATTTTTGATAGAAAAAAGTGAGCACCATTATGGAGCACATACTTGCTATATGCACAGCTTTATATAGCTGCCAAAAATTTGTTGAAGGAAGGAAACAAAAAAACAACCCATTTAGCAGCATGTGCTATCTGTTCCTTCATCTGCATGTTGCCATAGCTGCTTGACGTTACAACCAGAATACTGTCTCTTGCTTTTCTGCACGTTGTGCACATTTGGTTACATACCGCTCGTTTCCCCAGCCCTCCCATCATGCAATCCCCAGCTCCCCTTGCCTCCCAAACCAGGAACCCTGTTCTTTACTTTCTTCAACATTGAATCCTGGATACCATGGTGACATGAGTACCAATTAATCTGATGGAAAAGTAGTGTGGAAATTGGTTTTAAAGGCTGTTGGAATCACCATGTGGAAGCTATATTGTCTTGTACTTAGTGTGATATTGGTAGCTGGCCTCATGAATAGCACCTACTATTAGGTGGTTTAACTTATTGGCTGCATTTTACAACTTCCTTAAGTATATGAATAGTTAGGATTACTAAACAAAATTGCTATATGGATTATTTTCAAGGTGTGCGAGTGGTGGGGTTTGTGGTTTTTACTCGGGATAGAGGATATTTTTACACAGACTTTTATAAATGCAGAAGCTAAAGACTACCCTGGAACGTGTTTTAACTGGGACAACCCAGAGTCTCTGCAGGACTGTACTTCATGTTAGTTTCTTTTCGGCATGCAAGTTCCAAAATACAACATTTTGTCTTTAATTTAGAAGTTTTAATGGGATGCTATGTGGTCTTCCCTCTTCTCAGCTCAATCCCTACATACCCACCTTATAGTTTTAACCAAGCGTTTTATCTTTATAATTGAGGATTCTAAGTAGAAGTAGTAGCAAACCCTGTGGTACATGCACTCAGAGCTGCTATTGCTCCTAGGTCGTGCATCCAGATAGCTGAGAATCTGGAGAGTTCTTCTGGGCCGTGTGTGCAGCTGGTTAGATGACTGTAGATATAGATGCCTTTTTTTTGTGTGTGTGTGTATGTGTTCAGGTTTTCTGTGTGCATGCTGATTGGCTTTTTTTTGTTCTTCGTTACAGTGACCTTAATCACAGCACGCAATATGTGCAGGGGCTGGCACTCTGCACTCTTGGCTGCATGGGCTCCTCAGAAATGTGCAGAGACCTTGCAGGAGAGGTGGAAAAGCTCCTCAAAACTTCCAACTCCTATCTTAGGAAGAAGGTACTTCAGGGAACTTTTGAATACTTTGTTGTGGATTAAAACTCAGGATTGATTGGATAACCTGCTAATATCTGGAATGCTAGATGACTTGGATCACACTGGTTGAGTGTTTTCCCAGTGCGCAAGACAGAGGTCAAAACTCCCTGTCTGTCTATAGGAGGAATGTGCATAAGCCTCTAAAAGACAAGCCTCCAGCAGGTGAGGTAGTTGTTTCTATTTTGATACTCCCTACCTTAAGGTTGTTGATGGTAATATAAACACCTGCCCATTCACAGACATTAACCCCCAACTGCTAGTCATGAGTTTTGTTTCTGTATCTTCTCAGATAAGTCCAGAGAAACTTTGATTAGCAGTGCTGGCTGGTATCTGAAGATTTGAACCTATTTGATCTCTTCTGTTGATGATGACATGAGATAGAAAGGTTAAGGGCTTGAAATGGGCGAACAATTATAAATTGTCTCATTTCCATAGCAGGCGTGCTGTAGCACCTGCAAAGTGTAATCACACTTGTTCTTTTGAATTTATTTCATCAAGTCTTGGGGAGGGTGGGGAGCAGTAAGATTTAGGAAGAGATGGATTGTTACATCTTTGTCTAGTGCTGGATCTAGAGAGAGATTGGAGAGAAAGCAATGCTAAGAGGTATTGCTGTATTCTGGGAAGAGGCCTTCAGTGCTCTTGGATCTCAAGCAGCTGCGAAGGATAGTGTCTCTTGTTGCTTCTGCACCCCAGAAGTAGGCAGGTTTTCTGTAGTACACGTTTGTTTTTCGTAGGACCCATCACCTGCAGGAGGAAGTTATTTTGTGGGGAAGGAGAAGATATTCAAGGGAAAGAAAATGAGCCATAATTTGACATGAATTTAATTATTTGCTTCCAATGCGTTATCCCCTCCCTAGCAACGGGAGGACAGGCTGAAGTAGCCCTATTAAAGGCAGAGCTGCTTTGCAGTTACTATTGCTTCTGAAGTGAAAATGTGAAAAGGAACCATTGATAGTGGGAGTATTACTTTGTAGCTCAGTGCTTTCTTTTTTTTTTCTTCCTCCCTCCTCACTCGTGATCGTTTTATTGAACTCTTCTCTGTGATGCTGTTTAGTGTCACTTGTAGTAGAGAGAGGGAAAAATGTACCATGAACTTTCCAGGCCTTTGTATATCAGGAAATTTGTGATAGCTCCCACTATGCTAGATGTTCTCAAAACATTGTTGTCATTACGGTTTGTACTAACAGAACTGTTTTTCCTATACAGGCAGCATTGTGCGCTGTTCATGTCATTAGAAAGGTGCCTGAACTCATGGAGATGTTCCTGCCAGCCACCAAAAACTTGCTGAATGAGAAGAACCATGGTAATATCTGAGACTCTACTTAGCAAGGCTATGCCATTCTTTTCAGGATGGTGCACTTGCTACGTAACCTGTTTGTTTGGAAGGGACTTTTGAGGTGTATTAGTGTGACTTGTTTCTTTCCATTCCTATGCAGTGAAAGCAAATGTCACTCAGGAGAAAGGGAAGTGTATGAGTCTGCTAGTCAGCAGGACTTTTACATGGCATAGGTGACAAAAGGAACTCTCACTGTGGTTTGATACACTTCAGAGTGGGTGGAATGGGGAAGTTTGTGATCTTTATCCAGTGCACTGCCTAAAGGGAATCTAAAGTGCACTTTTTAGGTTTTTTTTTTTGTCTTCTGTTGGCATAACACTATAGGATTCTCTGACATAATTTTAGCAGGCATTCCCAGGACAGAGATACCTACGTCACTGTCATGAAAGTCTCCCTTTGGTGCTGTTTTTCATCAGAACTACATCATAAAACAGATTCTCACTTTAGCGGTCCTTTGCAAGAGTATTCAGTTTTAATGCATTTTCTCGCACGAGTGTTTCTAGAAGATTACTTAAAGATAAATACTAAATTAACACCTTGACTAATTTCTATCAAGCATAGTGCTCACTTCCGAAAGTCTTAGTCCTGTTACACATCTGCAACGAGCATGTGCCTTAAAAAATGGATGGGTGTGCTAGGAGTTCTGCAGTAGGTGTTTGCAGTGCTGAAAACCCATCACAGGGAGAAGTTCTGTCTGAAGACAGGGTAGTTGTAAGTGCCAGCAGTACTAACGGGCCACAGTAGCTTCCTGACAAGCTATTGTTTCCTTTTTTTTTCCTGCATGTATTGTAAACCTTTGAGGTACAGAACAGTTTGCATGTGGAACGTGGTTTGTGTGTGCACAGCTAATTTACCTCAATTTAAAACACCATGATCAGAACATTTAGAGTGAGCACTGCTTCAAATAGGCAGTGGTCTGTAAGACTCTTTGTCAGTGATGCCTACATGATTCAGCTTGGTAGTGTGACATCCTGTGTCTTATGCAACCCTGAAAAGCTGAGAGCTCTTCTGTTGCCTCTTTAAAGATGGGAATGCTCCTCTTCAAGCCTTGGCCAAGCAGAGAAAGGATCATCCTTTCTGCTTTCCTCGTCGTTAAAAATCATGGTCTCCTTTCCAGCAGTCTTAGCCACGGACTTCCTGTTGAGCTTTCTCTGAAGCAGAATATATGAAACCCCTTTAGCAGCCTCTTGGGAGGTCTCAGTGATTAGTAAGCAGTGTCAGTGTTAAGAAAGCTGTGACATAAGCTTTATAGATAGATATTTATGTACTTCAGAAGAGATTTTGGATAGAACCTGCAGTAGCTCAGGGAACTGCATAGGTTGTGAATATAAATGTCATCATCTCTTTAGAAAAAGTTTAAGCAGCAGGCTTCTAGTCTCTTTCTGAGTCAGGAGCTCTCTAGTACAGACTTAACAGCTACAGAAAATGAGTAACTGAAAAAGCATCTGAGAAGAATTGCTGTGTTACAACTGAATGTGGACATAAAATAATGCTCATTGTTGAAGTTTCGCGATGTACAGGGTTATATCTCACTAACAAGTTATCAAGCATTGGCATCTAGTTAAATGGTTTGTAGCTGACATGCCTTTTCTAACTATTCTCAGAGACACTTTGACTGGATTTTTTCAAGGCAGGCCACACAGCAGCTGGCTGCCAGTGTGCAGACACTGGCTTGACCAAGCAGTCTGCTGTAGTCTTTCTCTGGACTGAGTTCTGAGACCTTTTGAGGAAGGTCCAGTTCAGATCAAGAAGGTCAGCTAAGGTACTGGAATTAGAAGAGAAAATCAGGAAGCGTGAGGAACCCAACACCAACAGTGTAATGAACACGTACTGTCCTCCTAGAGTCTTCTGTTTGTGTAGAATCATAGAATGGTTTGGATTGGAAGGGACCTTAAAGATCACCTAGTCTAACTGTCTGTTGCCATCTGACTGTGTATTTGGTATGCAAGTTTCTGCAGACAAAGTCCAGTTTCTCTCCTCCTTTGACCTTTAGTTGCAGCATTAAGACATGAGCACGTTGCTGTCTGCTTTCCCTTGGGCACAGCTGCAAGCGCAAATGTGTTTTGGGGTAGATTTGTTGTATTAAAGAAGAGTTTTTTTGGGTTTTTTTTTTAATGATTTCCTGCTGTTTCCTTAGGATCTTTGTCACATGTCTAGAGCCATGAAATTATGTTAAATGTAGAGACTTTATTCTTTTTTCCTCCATCACCTTTAGGTGTTCTTCACACATCAGTTGTCCTTCTCACAGAGATGTGCGAGAGAAGCCCAGACATGCTTGCACACTTTAGAAAGGTAAGTGTGAACTGATAATATTGCAGGGTTAATATTCGTAGTTTTGTTTGTGGTGGGTTGGGGTTTTTGGTTTTGGTTTTTTTTTTTTTTCACTGATGCGTCTTCTTGAGCCTCCCTAGTGAAAGCAGTGTGCATGTCGTAATAATAAATATCTACGTGTCTTAATAAATATCCTTGCATGTCTTAATAATAAAATCCTAACAGCTATTTCGATGAAGAATTTAAAGATACTTTCTGCTTATTATCAACATTTTTAAAAAAATCATTGGACTTAGGAATTTTGTGTATCAAGTGCTAATCCCCTTCAATAAGTGGATAAGTTACAAAACATCGGTCTTAGGACTGTGCGGTATGAAACTCATCCTGAGGTTACATGTAGTGTCCTCTTTTGATGTTCCGTTAGGGTTTTTTCACACTCTTTGTGGCTAATTGCTTAGTGACATTGGAATCACAAATAAACATAAAGAGGCAAAGGTGAAAAACTGAAGCTTATACCAGCACCTGAATACCTTAACCACAGCCGCACAATTTTATAAACTCGGGTCAAAAATACCGATGGAAGTTCTAGTTCTGCAGATGCCTCATCTCTGGTGCATGCTATGTTACATCATTTTCCATTTTAACTTAAGGGTTTGAGAGTTGATGTTGCTCTTCCTGCTCTGGTTAGGAATGTTTGCTTCTCCTCCCCCCTCTCCAGCGCAAACTCCCTTATGCTGTTTGCTGTAATTTGCTGTGCAGTATTATTGCCATATGCAAGACTACCAATAGAAGGACATCTGAAAATTGCATTGATTGTGATTCTGACTTCTTGATTAAAGGAGAAATTGAATAAAGCTGGTATAACAGAGCTGGCCATTTGCACCTTTGAAAAGTCTTAAAGGTGCTCATTTACTTGCATGCCCAGTTTACTGTTCTTCCTTGGCTTGTCTGTGTCATTAGGGATTTCAACAGCGCATCCTTTGATGCATCTTAGCATTTTGACATGCATCCTGCCTTGCCCTGGTTGGGTATAAAGTGGGCCTAGGGTCGTCTTGAAGAAGGTAGCCATCCCAGCTGCTGATTGCTCAGTTAAGATGATAGTAGTGGGAAAAGAGAGAAGAGCTGAGCCCACAAAATTTCAGTACTAGGTACATTCTTTGCTAGCTATCTCTTGTAGTTGTTTATGCTGTGAATGGTATAACATTGATCCCTAATGCCTGCTTCGTCTGTTTTGTCCCTTTTGTCTGTTTGGAATCCTGCTGTGTGTTAGAATGAAAAGGTAAGAGTTAATTCTTCTAGATGGTGCATGCTTGCATTGAATCTGTAGATGTTTGTCTCATGTGAGGCAGTGCCTCTTAATGCCACGTTTGTGATTGATGCCACATGCTTAGATCAATCGTAGTTGTCTGATGCTTTTTGTGTGCTGGTCTTGTCTTGTCACTAAAACTCTATATCCATGGCAGCCCTGAATCTCAGTTGTGGCCTTCTCCAAACGTTAGCCTGCTTTCGTCAAGAGCTCTCTCATGTGAGGAATACTTTAGGGAATTTTTTTGTGCCTATGCAAACTGTACACCTGGGCTTTCTTCATACCTCACGAATGGGGCTTTGTGTTTTGCCTGAATCATGGAGCAACTTTGGATGATTCCCAAACGGGAGCAGGAGAGACAGTTACTTAGCCACCTGTAAGTGGGCTTACTGTGCTTCAAAGAGCTACCAAGTACAGCTGCATTGCTGATATTTTTCAAGGCTGTAATTTGACTGTAGAAGATTGGTGGGGTGGCCCTCAACCGATCTCCATGGCTGTAATGTTTCCCTTTGTTTGTTCTGTCCTTAGTCCTGATAACTCTTGCATGTTAGAAGGGCAAAGAAAATGTTAATCAGGGTTCCAGGAATGCTCCAGCAGGTAACTCCAGTTGTCTGTTACTCTTGCCTTGAGGGAAGATGTTGCAGCATGCATTGGTTTCCTCTTTAAGGCAGATAATAGGAAATTCATGGTTCCTTTTATTTGTATGTTTTCTGAAACGCACATTTTCGGAGGAGTATGTAATTCCTGAAGAGCGAAGGTAGAAGTAGTAAGAGATGATGGGGAAACTCAGCCAGTTTTCTTCTTGTGCTGTACCACAAATGTACAGGACTTTAGTCCAGAAAACATTGCCCATTTAGTATGTTGACATGCAGCTGTTGTGCTCTATAAATCACCTTGTGCTTTTGGCACATTCTGCTACTATCTGTCCTGAATCTGAAGCACCGTCTTGATTTGACGTTGTCAGAAGTGGCAACTTTGCTATAAACAATCCCTGATCTGGTAAAAATTTAGTGTGAATGCAAGCCCTGACTCATAATAGGCATACGTGAATGCAGGAGCAGTTAGTCTCAAGGACTTCAGCCTCAAGGGTGAATTCATTGGGAAGGATTTTGTAGAGAACATTTTCATGCATGGAGTGATTGTCATGCATGGAGTTGAGAGAAAGGATGGTACTGTCCTGGTGCTAGCCATGCTTCAGGGATGAAAAATCCACTTAGTGCAGCCACCATAACACCTCTGTCTGGTTTGTCACCTCATCTCCAGGCAGTGTCTGGATTATTTTAATAATACCAGCACTGAGAGGGATAGGAAAAACTTTCTATGGAAGTAATAAAGCTTTTAGAGATCTACAACTCTACATCATCCAGCAGGAGTGGTTTTTCTCTTGCAGCTCAATGAAAATGAGTCCAGTTTCTATCTTCCAACCTTAAGGTTTTTCATAGGATGTGTTGGAAATGAACTTCCATTTAATCCCTGAGACTATTTTGTAACTCACAGCTGCTATGAAGTTTTTTAGAGATAAATAGTAAGTTTGTTATAGCTTGTCTGCTTTAATGATTGGCTTATTTGCCACATTCTGCCCTAAACTGATTACTTGCTCGGCATGTGTGAGATACTACAGGGAGATTCTATTACGGTTCCTCAGAGTTGCCCTGACAGTTGAAGTCAGTTGTCAGAGATGCCTAAGATGGAGGGAATTGAACCAAACTTTTGGAAATAGGTAGCATTTTTTCAAAGTTGTGTACGAGTCTTGAACAATAACGTATTCCTATGGGTAGATGTCTACTGGGAGACCAGTGCAATCAACATCTGAGGAATGTGAACTGCTTCTGAAAGTTGTTTAGCCCACACAGGTGGAAAGAAACTTTAAAATATGAACAGTGTAAGCCGATACGATTTTGTGCTCCTAAGTCTGGCATAGTAGCAGTCCTTCCATCAGTTTCTCTGCTATTATCCAGAACCCTTCTAACAGCAGTGAAGCAAAGAATTTGGTCAGTTTAGTGTTGCTGCTCTTGCTGAGAAGTTTGGGATGAAGAGGAGGAGAATAGACCCTGGAGCTACTTGCACGGAAGAAGTCTTAACAACAGAGCCCTGGGAAAGGCTGGAGGGAAATCCATTCTCTGCCCTATTTGGAAACTCTTGGAGAGGAAGCAGGTCGCAAAGCTTTTCTTTCTAGAAGCTAAGTTGGGTGGAGTGTCAAACTTGAAAGAATTCTTGATAATTTGCTCTAGTCATAGCAGTACAGTACTTGAAAAGATCGAAACTGTTTGTCTATGCCCAGTGCTTCCATGGCAATGTATGCTAAAAGTGAGTCAGGAGCTAATATAAAGCCCCCAAGCGAAGCCCCGGAATTATATCATTTTAATAGTGCCTGCACATCCCCCCCCCCTTTTTTTTTTTTTTTTTAAGAGAGGAATTGAAGTTGGTATTTTCTCTCAGGTCTCAGCTGCCAAGCCTTGGTAGATTTAGTTCTTTAAAGATACGATATGGTGCTCAGTTCCCTGCTTAACTGTTTCTAGTTGTGCCCTAATTAAGCTGTAGGTGTTTATAAAACATCAGCTGTACGTGTGCAAGTTGAACTTTGTGGAATAATCCGTAGACTGACTTGCTTTCAAATACAAGATTTTTTTTCTTGGACCTGTACTTCAAAGCTGGGGGAGGAACAACACCCTAATAGGACAACTCTCTTCTTCACAGCTCGTTCCCCAATTAGTTCGTATTCTGAAGAACCTTATCATGTCTGGATATTCACCAGAGCATGATGTGTCTGGGATCAGTGACCCCTTTTTGCAGGTAAGAACTGATGCAAACAGTGATTGATAGCTTAAATTCTAGTACTGTGTTTTGAGATTTAGGTGTATTGTATTATGAGAAGTTGTGACAAAAGGGAGAAGCGGCAACACCTGTTGGTCTTGCAAGGCTGGGCCTAGTGGGTAGTGGGGGGTACTCTTAACAGTTCTGGCTGGTGGGAGGAGAATGAGAAGGGCACAAGCCTGTTCTTACTGGTAAAGGTCTTGTTAAGGATAAGCATTTTGCTTAGGAATGGAGCAGCTTGTTCTGCTGCTTTGCCGCTCAAGAAGTGTACTGGGCATTTCGTGGCCCCTGTGTAAAACACTGCCATCTAATGAGCTATTCTTTGCTTTATTTTTGTCAAATAGGTACGAATCCTGCGGTTACTAAGAATTTTAGGGCGAAATGATGATGATTCTAGTGAAGCAATGAATGATATACTTGCACAGGTAAGGTCTGCAAGGTTGATGAGCAGCTTAAACTTTCTCTTTTGGTTTCTTAACTTGGATTCAGCAGCACTGGTGAGAATACAGGTGCTTGCTATGCTGGGTTGAATTTTGCTGGAAGAGACACGTTCACAGGTGTAGCACTTGTATGCTAGGGATTGGTTGGTTTCACTGCTGGTTCTCCGGAACAGTGCAAAGGGGATCTCTTTTGGATGAGTTGGATTCCTGTATTTTGTTTCTTTTCTCCAGGTTGCCACTAATACAGAAACAAGTAAAAACGTGGGAAATGCCATTCTCTATGAAACTGTGCTGACTATTATGGACATAAAATCTGAGAGTGGACTGAGAGTAAGTTGCCTGCTTGTATTAGAGTAATTTGTGTAGAGGACATGAAGTAAAGTTGTTTCACTTAAACAAAGCTCCACAGTCGGCTCTAGGTAAGACTGTAGCTGCTTCAGAGAGTGGTGTGCATTTGTTTTTTTCTTTAAAAAATAACAAAAATTAAAAAGCAAAACTTCCTGCAGAGGCTGTTCCCTTGAGTGCAGGAGAGAGCCTATCCTGTGTTTGCCTTAATTTTCCTCTGCTTAGGCAGCTTCTAGAGTTCTTTATGCTTTTGGCCAAGAACCACAATGGTAGCTTTGACATGTCGCTGTTAAAATCATCTTGAAACCATGAAGATGACCAGCAGGCTTTTTTGATCGTTGACCTTCCCTAACTCTTTCTGCAGGTGTTAGCCATTAACATCCTAGGCCGTTTCTTACTAAACAACGACAAAAATATCAGGTAAGTTGTATGAACTGTGTTTTGGCAACACTGGCTTTAAAATGTGTGAGAAGCAATTACACAAAGAATATAATGAAGCAGAGTTTTCCAGGAGACCTTGTTGGGAAGTGCTGTTGTTTGGGTTAGTATGACTGCCTAGCTTTCTTCTTTCTTTATGCATTTTTTTCTCTGTGCAAATCTTTACTGTGGCCCTACCCTTCTTAGTCGATGAGCCCGGATGTGTGATCTAATTCTTGACATGTGATTTCTTTATCTAGCCAAGTGTTTTTTCCAGTAACCTGTGAGTCTCCTGTCTTGTCCCAACTGCTGATGCTCAAATCAGAGTTGGCATTGGAGATCTGACAAGTCAGGCGAAGTCTGTGGGTTTTCTGATTGTGTACTGTTGGCAACAAGGAAGTTCAGTTGTGCTTTGGTCACTATGAATACGGACACGGAATTGCTGCAACTGCTAGAATTAAGACCCATCTGTAGGCATTTTGATTGCAAATCATGATATAGGTAGAAGACTCTAGCCTTGGGAATTGCAACTCATGCTAGTTTGTATATGGTCTGCAGAGGTCTAGTCTTTACTTGCCTTGTCTTTTCAAAGTCTTTGTGAAGACTGGGCATGTGGCATGAGCCCAGGAACTGGGACAGGTGCTTGTCCAGACAGCAGGGTGTTGTTAGGCATGTGACAGTTTAGTATGGTAACTCACCTTTGAAGACAGGCCAGGCAGTCCCCCTGGAAGATTTCCATTCATTACTGAGTACAAGAGAACCCTGTTTTGTTGCAAAATAAGACTAAGTTTTTGGGAGAGTGTGAGTGCCCGTGTGTAGAATTCAAATGCCTACTGTCAAGTATTTGTTACTGTATGTCCTTGTCGCCAGGTATGTAGCTTTGACATCATTGTTGAAAACTGTGCAGACAGACCATAATGCAGTACAGCGGCACAGAAGCACGATTGTGGACTGCCTGAAGGATCTGGATGTCTCCATTAAAAGGTAATTGGAACGTCAGTGAAATAGACTCTCAAAGTTGACAGCCTATGGAAAGTGAGCAGGGCATAGGGGAAAATGACAATAATCTTGGGGGACTATAAGTGAGACTGGTATTAATGCATAGAGTGGTTCATACTTCACAGAAGATAATGAAGATGTGCAGCCACCTTCTTTGGGAAGCTGCTTTTACATTTTCTGCATCTTGGATTGGAAAAGAAGATTTTTCTGTTTGCCTCATTTTTTCCAAAATGGAGTCTCAATGGAGATCAGATTGTGTGCTGACAATGAGATAGAAAGCCTCCATAAAGTATGATCCTAATCAAAGCTGCTCTGGCATGTTCCGTGTTGCTTTGCTTTTCTGGACAAACAGGCAGTGCTACGTTGTCTTGAAGCAGTGTTAAGCCATCCAAATAATGTATTCGGGATTAAGTTTGATTAGGCAGTGGTAGAATTCAGACTTAACTTGATTGTTCAGATAATTTGCTTACAAACCACATCCTGTTACCCATACTTGGTCTTCGTTTGCTGTTTAAGTAGCGGTATGTTGCTACTTCTCTGGGCAATAGGAGAGCTTGCAGCCTTACTTCTCGCTACAGGAATTTTTTCCTGATACTCAGTGTAAACTTCTTCCTCTGTTTCTTCTCATTACTTCAGTTATGTTCCTTTTATTGATGATAGTAGCTTTCTCCTGTTTCTGTCAGACACTCATAGATACTTTTGTATTGTTTGATCTCACTTTTGCACAACTTATACGGAATACTGCTCATCTAAATTGAGTCTTTCAGCCTGTCAATTGCTTGCTCTTTTTCTTTCAGAACTCTCTTCCTCATCATTATTCTTTCTGTAACTGGTGGTCTGAGCTCAGTGCAGCATAAAGTGTGTCAGTGATGGGGACAGTTGCATCCCTGTTGCATCTTGTGGAATCTGTCTGCTGCGGACCAAAATTTCATTGGGCTCTCGTCACATCCTGTATATACTTTCAAAATTGCTCAACCTCTTTTTTTCCATCTTGTCAAACTGATTAGATACTCCATAGATACTCGTTCTGATAGGCATTCTTCAAATTTATGCTCATCTTTGAATCAGATCCACATTTTTAACAGCACTGCTCAGTCTTAATATGTACAGAATAGGAAAGAAATTGGATCTGTCTCACTTCTGAAACTTATTTTTGGCTGTTATGTAATGAGTATTGTGGAATCTATTTTTACAGTTGCAATCTATCCCAAAACACAAACTTGTATCTTATGTGCTGAGCGAGTCAGGCTGCTGTTGCTGTTCGGTGCCAGAGCCAGCATGAGGCTAGGTTGTGGGGCAGCAAAGCCCCATCTAGGTTTTGGACAGACGGCAACAAGAGCATTTTATTGGTGCCTGCTAGGAAAACCCAGGTCTGCTACAAACAGCAGAGCTTCACATCTGAGTGCTGTTGGAGGATGAAGCCTTTGAGTGATCCATCAGCAGAGCATGATGTTGCCATGCTGACACTCGTGCTGCTGACAATGCACTGTCTTCACTGAAGCAATATATTGACTGGATGTCAGTCCCCAGGGAGCAAGTTTGAATGGCTGGGACTTGAGGGAAAGACATGACACCTGGTTTTGGTTATCTGAAGCATGGCCTGTTCTCATAATTTTTTAACCATTGCAGTGCAGCTTTGGTCCACGTAGTATAATTCAGAATGGCTTTGCCATTTAATTCAAGTCTTTTTGTCTATCTGCTTGATATGATCAAACTACATGTGATTAGGAACTTCGTGACAGAAATGAGCCGTGTAATATGGTTGAAGGTAAGCACTATGTTTGGGGATAAATGCCTGGTATTATGATTGCAGAGCACCTCTGTGCACCTGCAGTATTGATGTATCTGCTATAATGTGGCTGAAAAATTAAACATAAACATGGAAAACTTGTAACCCGGGATTAGGTGTGAGGAGTTGGGAACTAACTGGAGGGATGAAAACAATTCTGATAACGGTATAGGTCTTCAACCAGCCGCAGATCTAGATGATAAAAGATAACAGTTTAATTACGTGTTTTCACCCTAATTCTGAGCACCTCTGTGTCTTCTAGGTCCCTGGGTATTAGTTGAGTAAAAAGCAAAATAACACATTTACAGTTCACCGTTCTGTAGAAATCCTTCTTAGTACAATCATAACTAGAGAGGTGGGGAGAAGCAGTGCTGTCTAGATGTTCTCAGATTCTTGGGAACAAATAGTCTGTGCCCAATACTGTTGGATTGGGGTAATGTGACTGGTCTTAAGTTGTTGATGTTTCATGAATGTTGGGAAAATACTAAGCAATCAGAAAAAATAACTGTCTGTGTAGCGGTAGGTTAGCAAGCTTGACACTGGAGTAAGAATCAGTGGGACTGCTCATGGGTTTTCTGCCAGTAAATACGTGAAAGGATGACAGCATAGCTCATGCACGTCAACATCATGACTTTAATGAAAATTACTGTAGTTAAACGCATTTTGAAGTCTGATCTATTTGAAGAAAGTTTGTATTACAGAACAGACTTTAGGCCTTTTGGCATAATTCTGGTTGTATTCTATTGCATGACAAGCGGTACAAAATCACTGTACAAATGAAGTACTTCAGCTATTCAGATGATTTTAGAAGATAACTGAAATGGGGGAGGAAGTTTTTGATGTGCTATGAGGATCTGTTTTGTCTTCTAGTAGGCTATCTCGGTAACAGGCAGAGAGTGAAGTTCCTGATAGTATGAAGAGGGCACAGCTTGGAGACTTGGGTTCTGGATTACACCAAATGCTCAGTTTTAAAGAATAGTCAGGGTGGTTTAGCGAGGCTGTTTTAATGCGTTGTTTTAATGCATTTTGACATAACTAGTTGCCACCGTTGTACAGAAATCAATCGCATTCGAAGATAGTCTTCATTCAAAAAAAGTCAGAAGAATGAGAGAGCTGTGCTAGAATCAACTACAGAAGCTTCAAGTAGAAGGACTAAGGACTAGCCTCTGACCTCTCAATGTATACAACAAGGAATAGCAAATTGCCAGTACTGTCTAGTTGTCATGTCACCTTGGGGGTGGTGGGGGAAAGGAATGGGTTCTGGAAAGAGCACCAGGGTAACTTTGGGTTCTAGAAATCTTACGTAGCCTATCTGACAGGATACAATAACGCTTATCAGTTAATATTTTAAATCTCTACTGTATTTGAATCTCTAATATATGGAGATCAAAAGAAGGTCTCTTCTGGATCCCTGGAGCTGGAGAAAGTGCATTGTAGCATGGGTTATGCTGCAGTTGTGTGTCAGAAATGACCAGCGTGCAATTACAAATACTTGAGCAATCAGACCTTAATGCTGATGGACTCTGGTTGCTCAAAGGTATAAAGGTATTTCTAACCTTTAGGACATGTGGATATGTGTTTCTGGAACACCTACACCCCTACTCCCCCTTAGAATTTTTTGGGGTGGGTGCCCATGAACAGGAAAATAGTGGTACATTTAATGTGGAAGGCTGTTCTCACAGGATTAATAACTGTTGCTCTCATCTTAATTAAAAGGTAAGTGCATTTGTGTAACTGCACTTGGGTTTTGTTGGGGTTTTTTTTACTTCACTAGGTGAAGATGCTTTATTGGTTTTCTGTCTCTTGCCCTAGGCGTGCAATGGAACTGAGTTTTGCTCTTGTTAATGGAAACAATGTCCGTGGAATGATGAAGGAGTTGCTGTATTTCCTAGATTCCTGTGAACCAGAGTTCAAGGCAGACTGTGCATCTGGAATATTTCTTGCAGCTGAAAAGTATGGGGTCAATTTACTTGCTTTTTTTTTTTTTTTACATCCTTGGAATTATGAGTATTTTGTATGTTGTTCCTCTCCCTCTTCACCCTCCCAGGAGAGAATATATTGATCATCTTTTCTCCGTTGGCTGATCTGTGTGTGGCTTGTCAGTTTTAACCCGCTCTGAGGAACAGGACACGCTAGTGCCTTGGGACACCATAGTGTGTCCCGTATGGGTAGTCCTCATATCATTAAACCAGTCTAGTGTATTGATTTCTGCTGCGCTTGGCGACAGGTATCGTGCTGACATCCTGGCCCTGCCCCCCCTCCACACACACAGATCCTCTCTGGTTAGTTGTGCAGGTGAGGTGATCTCATTACTGTTGAGCCGTTGTAATCAGCAGTCTGACTTCGAAGTACTGTATATGCAAGGTATGCCTGTGCTGTATTATGCAGACCTGTGTATTCATTCAGTTTTCCAGTGTTGGCATTAATACAAAAAAGTGACAGGATGTGAAGTGTGTGGTGTTTTGTTTTGTAAGATTTTTTTGTGTGTGTTTTGTCCGTGTTACCCACCTCAGGAAACAGTGGGCCAGGAAGTAACTGAATGGGAAATTCTGATGATGTGTTTCTTGTTGGTGTTGAAGGCTAGCAGTTATTGCTCTAACCTGTTATCTTAATTTTGTCAGATATGCTCCTTCCAAACGTTGGCACATAGACACAATTATGAGAGTCTTAACAACGGTAAGTGAAATTGCCTGTCTTGTGTGTGACTATGTAAAAATTTCTTAATTCTGTAGGAAGTCACTCCTCATCAAGTTGGAGATGGCTATAAAGGCTGGCAGATAACAAATACAGTACACAGAGGAGGTGTACTTACGTGGTAGTGATCCAAGGCAGCCAGTCAGAAATACGTAAACTCAGTAACTATGACTGAGTGGTTTTGTAGAAGGAATGTATTGATTTCAGAAGCCCACAAGAATACAGTGTGTAGCAGAGTGTTTCCGCTGCAGTAATCATACTAGCTTCAAAGTTAGGACAGCCCTTATGCTATCTGTGATTCCAGTATACCGTGCTTTCAGGGGAGAGCAAACACAGCCTTAAGTGACTTGCAAAGTGAAAGGGGGTGATACAATTTCTTGGAATTATTCCAAGTTGAGTTTATCAAAGCTTTTTAATGAAAATGTATCAACAGCCTTCTAATTCCTCTTCTTTGAGTTTAATTATTACTCTTTACCTACATAAACTTCTTTATAAACATCACAGCTGAGATAGAACTGAAGTAGTGTTTTGCTGAACAAGAGGGAAATCATCTTGATCTTGCCTTGGGTAGGCAGTCTGTTCCCTGAGGCAAAGGAGTGTGAAGAGATTTATTTCATCAGTATGAGCGTTCAAATTTGAGAAGTTCATCAAGAACTGAGTCTGGCTTGTGTGCTATTTTGCCACACTGAAACAGGGAAAAGTAGATTTGTCTGAACTGAGAATTGAGCTCTATTAGAAGGTTGGCTGTGAGAATTGCTCTCAGATGACTTCCTTTGATAAAGGAACTTCCTTCTCTTGGCTGCTAGGGAAACCATTTATAAAGTTGTATTCATGAGGCTGCCTGCTGCAGACTCTCAGATAAACATCCTTTTCAGTTTGCCAGGCTTATGAGAACTAACACAGAAAGATAGCATCAGTCATTGTGGTGGGTTGACCGTGGGTTGACCCTGACTGGACACTAGGTGCCCACCAAAGCTGCTCTGTCGCCTGCCCTCCTCAACTGGACAGGGGAGAAAAAATACAATGAAAGGCTCAGGGGTTGAGATGAGGGTGTGGGGAGATCACTCACCAATTACCATCACAGGCAAAACAGACTCGACTGGGGAAATTAGTTTATTGCCAATCAAATCAGAGTATGATAAGGGGGGGTGGGGGGAACAACCCAAATCTTAAAAAACACCTTCTCCTGCACCCCTCCCTTCTTCCTGGGCATAACTCCATTCCCATTTCCTCTACCTCCTCCCGTCCAGCGGTGCAGGGGGATGGTCAGTTCATCACATGTTGTTTGTGCTGCTACTTCCCCCTAAGGGGGAGGAATCCTCACTCTCTTCCCGTGCTTCAACGTGAATCCTTCCCATGGGCTACAGTTCTCCACAGACTGCTCCAGTGTGGGTCCCCCATGGGGTCACAAGTCCTGCCAGAAAACCTGCTCCAGCGTGTGTTGCTCTCTCCACGGGGCCACAGGTCCTGCCAGGAGCCTGCTCCAGTGTGGGCTTCCCACAGGGTCACAGCCCCCTTCAGGCATCCAGCTGCTCTGGCATGGGGTCCTCCATGGCCTGCAGGTGCATGTCTGCTCCACCATGGACCTCCATGGGCTGCAGGGGGATAGCCTGCCTCAACCATGGTGTTCACCATGGGCTGCAGGGAAATCTCTGCACCAGCACCTGGAGCAACCTCTCTCCCTCCTTCTTCACTGCCCTTGGTGTCTGCAGAGTTGTTTGTTCTCACTCCTCTCTCCTGGAATTGCTGTTGCCCACATTTTTTTTTCCTCCTTCTTAAATATGTTGTCACAGAGGTGCTACCACCGTCACTGATGGGCTCGGCCTTGGCCAGCGGTGGTCCGTCTTGGAGCCAGCTGGCATTGGCTCTGTCAGACATAGAAGTTTCTGGCAGCTTCTTACAGAAACCACTCCTGTAGCCCCCCAAGCTACCAAAATCTTGCCACGCTAACCTAATACAGCCATCTTTGACTATCTGGATTCTCGCTCAGTTGAGCTTATTGGGCTGGTGTGATGTTCTTCTTTTTGCATGCTCTGCTGTCAGTGCCAGAGTGCCTAAACAGACCGGGTTTTGGACAGTATACATCTTCCCTTCAGTGCCAAAGCTGTGTGACTGTATATTGCCTCACATACTTTCCTGGCCTTAAGGTGGGCTTTTCCCTCTTGAGCTCCGTGTTCTGTCCTCTAACCAAAGAGTGATAGGCAGGCAAGTTCCTGGGTCCTGGTGCTTATTTGGTGTAGAATCTGGCTTTGAGCAAGTAGTAGAATAAGCTGCTTTCTGCCTCCAGGGTGTCTTTAACTTAAAGCTTTCAGTTTAACAGAGAAGCTTTCTGTGTTGCTTTTTGTTTCTTCTCTAGCACAGAATTCTTATGTCCACACTGTATCCCCTTGACAATTTCAAGATAATCTATACTATGGATTTCTCTGGTATAGTTGAGTTCATTGGGAAAATGTACTGTCCTCTACTTCTACCCATCTGAGCCTGCTCAAAATCAACCATGAAGTGCTTGGGGATGAGGAGGTTGATTTTTATTTCTGTGCACATCAGGTGGCTTTGTGAAAGATATCATCGGATGCTGGGTGTTGCTGAGAAGTTGGGTAGTGAAACCTAACAACAATTGTTCTTGCAGGCAGGAAGTTATGTTCGTGATGATGCTGTTCCCAACCTGATTCAGCTAATAACTAATAGTGTGGAGATGCATGCCTACACTGTGCAGAGACTCTACAAAGCCATCCTTGGTGATTATTCCCAGGTAATACCAAACACAACCAGCTTCCATTTCCTTGTTCTACTGCAATAAGCATGTTTACTAAGCATCTTGAGGTAAGTCAACATCACACTGTCTAGCTCCAAGGGACAGATTGCAGAAGAGGCATGTCTTCTATAAGTTCATGTTCTTTTTATTTTCTTTTTATTTTCTCTAATTCTGTTGGGGAATTCTTGATCAAATCAAATATTCCTGTTTCTTCTGCTGTGGAGAATTTCCTTGGCTGGATGGGGGGCTAAGCTTGCTCTGGCAAATGGTGATGGTTTAATTTATCTGTCTCTGAGGCGTCTGAATTTTTTTTCTTCCAACAGCAGCCTCTGGTGCAAGTGGCCTCTTGGTGCATAGGAGAGTATGGAGATCTTCTGGTGTCTGGTCAGTGTGAAGAGGAGGAACCAATACAGGTATAGGTCGGGAAAGGCGAACAACTGTGTACCTGGCTGAGGCTGGAGCTGCTTGATGCTGGCTATGAGAGGAGAATGCTTGCAACAGTTGCTTAGCACTGGTGTCCACGATGGAGATGGACCCTGGACAGAACTCTCCTTCCCATGCTCCAGGCATGGGCTGCATAAACGCTCACTGTGAGGAGTGCAGCTACAGTTGGCAGAGCGGTGTGGTTTCAGCGCTAACCTAGCTTGCACGGTATCTGCTAGGGTCCTAGCTGTGTATTTTGGTGATTTTCAATGTGTGGAATAGGACCTGTATTTTAAAACTAGTATCGTAAGATCTCCACCTAGATGCATCTGTCTTATACACTCTGACGTAATGCTGTAGGCTCACAAAGTTGCGGGGGAGGTATGACCTGGCAATTAAGCAAGAGACAGGTTTTTACAGCATGCCTTGGAAGGACTGCTGCAAAGCTTCTCTCTGTCTCAGCCTAACCTTTCTGTACCTTTTCAGGTAACAGAGGATGAAGTTCTTGATATTTTAGAAAGCGTCCTGATATCTAATATGTCTGCATCTGTTACACGAGGCTATGCTCTCACTGCCATCATGAAGCTTTCCACAAGGTTCACCTGCACTGTCAAGTGAGTTCTCATTGATGTTGTGCTGCAGAGGGCTTTGTTGGAAATGTGCTGGCATCAGTTGTCTTCTGTAGAAGTATTCTTTGGACATCTTTCCAGTTCCTTTTTTGGACAATGGAGAGAAAAATAGCTTGTTTCCTAGTGATGACTTCTCGGTGTAGGTCGTTGAGCTTTCTTACCACCTTGTGGTGGTATATTGATCACCTGCTGATGCTGTTGTGAAGGGACATAGATACTCCAGGAAAACAGCAGTGACTACTGTTTTAGGAGTTACACAGGACACCTGTTGAGCAGAGGCCAGATAGTGGCTTCTGGATGACCCATGCTAATCCCTTGCTTATTGCTGCTAATTCCATGGTGTGGTTTTTGTTTCCCCCTTGCCCCCACACAGTCGCATTAAGAAGGTAGTTTCCATTTACGGGAGCAGCATCGATGTGGAGCTACAGCAGAGGGCAGTGGAATATAATGCACTTTTCAAGAAATATGATCACATGAGGTAAGTGGTGATGAGTGGTGTTTGAAAAGGATCATTATAATCTACTCTGATCTCCTGTGTACGACACTTTGTGCTTTGAGAGCTTTGCCTGGCGATTCTTGTAGGATTACAGAGGAACTAGAATGCCTTCCTCATCTATAGGGTTAGCAAGTGTTTAAGAACTTAATGTATCCTGGGAGATTGTTCTGTGATCCGAGACTTTCTTTGCCAAAACATTGCAATGCTTTGATCTTGAACTTGACTAATTTTTACCTGTAGGTGTAAATCCTGAATTTGCAAGCTGAGTAAGTGTCTGCAGGTAGCTTTTACCATGCTAGCATTACCACGGTCATTAGGTTCAAACTGATTTTAAAATGTCTTTGGAATAAGCATGCAGGAATCCATTGACCTGTCCTCCTAAACTGAGCTCTGAACTTGAGGTAATTCTTCCAACTGATAGTACTTTTCAGTTTTTCAGAACATCTTTTTAATTCTCTGTATCTTATTGTAGTATCTGTTTAAAATCTCAAATTCTGCATGCAAAGGCGTACTATTGCACTGCACCCCTCAGCATCCCTGTCTTACAGTTCGTGAGCATGTTAACTTTCTTACATTTTAACATTGAGAGGTCCCCATTCATCATTGCTTTGCTCAAGTGATGGTTTCTTTATGAGAAAGGTAAAACCCTTCTTTGTTGCAATAACTAAGCTGTAATTCTTTGCAGAATAGTTATTAATCTACTAAATGCAATGGTTAATTGTTGATACGTAGGAGCACCACAGATTCTGTTCAGTAAGATCATAGGATTGGAGGAGATCTTCTGGGGATTAACTTCATCCACCCTCGAAAACTTGCTGTGAGATTCCATTGGATGGAGGAGCATCCATTGCAGAGTCTGGATGAAAGGACTGAGAGAAAATGGGTGCCACTGGACTAAATCCTGCCTATGCTTGTACAGGCCTCCAAACCTTGTTTCAAAGGCTCTTCACGATCACTTTTTTTCCATAGGTACCACCCTATTCACTATGTGTAGGCCACAACATCCTTGTGATTTCCTCTTTTCTCTCCTCCCATGGGATCCATGCAGCAACTCAAATTGTTCTTGGAAAAATCATGTTAATGAGCTAGGGCATGTGAGCTGCTTAGGGCTTCACACGAAGCCTTATGAATGAGTCGAGAAAAACCTAGCATGAGAGGCTTTTGATGTGAGTTGACTATTGCAAACAACAGTGTCTGGCGATCGGCTAGCTTCTGATCAGACTGCAGTGTGTGCTACTCATAGTTTTGGGAAGCGTTGCACTTCAGAAAAACCACATGTAAACTTCATTCAGTTTTATGAGAGAGCATCTGTGGTCCCCGTTCTCTCCCCCGCCCCCCCCGCTATATTCTGGTGTTCATTACAGTGTAAAGGTCAATGTTTAAAAGTTTGTGCTCCTTAAGACTTTGTTCATAGTCAGAAATGTGGTCCATTCCTGGGTTTGTTGGCACTGGAACACTTTTTGAGCCCGAAAGATGTGTAGACAGTGTGGCTTAGCCCTATTACATGCAGCACTTTGTGGCTTGATCTGTAAGGGTAATGGCCTTTCTTGTGTTGCAGACTAGTTCTCCCTGTACAGGTTTTCCTAGGTTTTTTGGTTTGATGTCAGGATTCTGGATCCTGTGTCGCCTCTTCAGTCTCTGTGTCATTTCAGGAGGGTACTCTCAAGGGCTGAACTTACTGTCTTGGGAAACTTAATTTGGCTGACTGAGAGTACAGTGATTTGCTTTTCCAGCTTTGTCACTTCTCCTAAGTGGTTAACCCTTCTGCAAGGGAGAAGTCCAATGAGCTGACTCTGACTCAGCTGCATATGGAACAGAGCAGTCAAGTGTCCCATGTCTGCAGTTAATCCCCATTGCTCAATTATTTAATCTTTGTCTTCAGTTTGTTATCCTAGTCCCACAGTGGAAACTCTGTCGAGTAATGGGGGGAAAATAGGAGGCAGGAGGGCTTGTCTGGCTTTCAGCTGTCAACTAATGTATTTACGCTGGCACAGAATGCCAGGGATTGCTTCTGACCGCCTCAAGCTGTCAGGCAGTCTTTCAGTTCCCGTGCATTGGGGCTAAAAGGAAAAGGCAGGTTGCCCTGTGTATATCATCTCCTGAATGTCTGAGTATTTGGATTGGGATCCAGGAAGATGGCACAGTGTAACTATGTCAGCTTCTTTTAGGCCAGCTCTGCTTGAGAGAATGCCAGTAATGGAGAAAGTCACCACAAATGGCCCTACTGAGATTGTACAGACCAATGGAGAGACGGAGCCAGCTGTACTGGAAACCAAACCTCCACCCTCTGGATTGCAGCCTGCTAGCCAGGTAATGGAACCTGATCTTGGATAAATTTCCACTGCTAGCCACTGCCAACAGCAAGCTGAGACCATCTCCCTCCCCCTCTCTGCCTCTTTGCTAGTTCTGTCCTGGTGATGATTGCATCATCTCTCTGCTCTGATGGATCCAGTGTAGAGAACTGGTGTTTGGGAGAGGTCATTGTAGGGAGTGCGAGAGCAGGGTGGTTTAAAGCCATGTATCTCCCGGACTGTGTCAGTGTGCATGAACTCCATCCTTCTCTATCTCTATGGTCTCAAGAGTGTGGAAACAAGATCTCTTGTGGGGCATGGGACCATAACCGCTCTAAGAACCTCTCTGACTGGCCAGCAGCTCTGTTGGTCTTCAATCTGAGAGCGAGCAGGATCCATTACATTTGCAAGTGAAAGTACCAGGAAGTTGGATATGTAACTATTACATTCACTCTCTCATTAGGCAAATGATTTGTTGGACTTGCTGGGGGGAAGTGATGTCACACCTGTAATCCCAACTGCACCTACAAGCAAGCCAGCCTCTGCTGGTGGGGAGCTCCTTGACCTCCTGGGAGACCTCAACCTAACAGGTGAGCAGGCTGCATCTCTTAAAAGTCTACGTTCTCAGTCCTGGGGTGGGATGAGGGCTGGCTAGTTCTTCACTTTCTATCAGGTCCTAGTCTTCACACTTAATCTTACCAAGATGCGTATTACCATACAGGTGGCAGTCAGGGAATGAAGTCACAGGTTGACTCTGCATGATTAGCTGGTGAGACTTGAGCATTTTCACACTCCAGCCTGGGAATGCTGTGAGCCTTTTCCAGAGAGGATTGGGAGGTGTGAGGAATTCATTGCACTGTTAGCAAGTCTGCTGATGACACAAAACTGGGAAGAGTGGCT